AATCGAGGATCTGGGGTTCGGTTAATGTGAGACATGAGTTGCTACTTTTTGAATCTCATATTCAATATTCTTTCTTTAAACCCTCATATTTAATATTTTTGGAGTGGTAATTCAATTATTTACCTATTTGTTATTCTTCATCTCATAGTTGAGCTTTGTTCCGCTCTGTTGGGTAACATGAAAACATATTTATGATATTTTGCAAATGCATGGAAAAAGTGATGTCTGTGGAATACTGAAAATATTTCAAAGATATCACCTTTGCCAGGGATTTGAAAACTGCCACTAATATGATGTGTTTTGTTACAAAGTGATTTCATGACATCATGGGGATGAATGAATGAATGGATGTTGTTTTGATATATTTTGTTAAGTTTTAAAGGTGAAATATGGGATAAATAGAACATTCTATGAATTTTTGTGATATCGTGTAATCCACTCCTTGATATCAATATCTGCGCTAATTCGCTAACTTGGCAAGAGTAATGGCTTTCAGAGTATTGATTTCAGAGCAATGGGCTTTCAGATTTATGGGCTTCGCAATATTGGGTTTTGGAGTATTACATTACAGGGTATTGTGTTTTAGAGTGTTGATTTCAGAGTAATGGGTTTCGGAGTAATGTGTTTTGGAGTCATAGTGTGTCCCTGTCTACATCAGTACATAATGTTTTATTTATGTTATGCAATTGAAAACATTATGGGTTTGAGGACCTCATCTTGCCGTCTTTAAAGCGAACAACTGGCATGTCATCTGGTGATACAATGTAACCACTTTGACCATTCACCAGTCCCTTTGCTACATTGATATTGCTTATCAGCATAACTGGAGTGTTTTCTTTTATGTCAAGGGACTTCAATGCTTGAATTTTTTTAAGCATTGTGGATATCTCTGCTGTCTACACCATTGTAGCGTTTTACTCATTCAGGTACCTGGAAATATCAAAATGAAAAATAAAGATGAGAGAAGTAATGATATTGATATTTTACAGGAAAATGTGTATGAAACAAAGGTCACATGTTGAGGACAAAATTTCTTCATGATATTCTTTTGCGCTGATTGACCTAAAAAATAATGCTGGCCCTGTAAAAAATTCTGTAAAAATATGTTATGGCTCAGCATTTCTTGAGATTTTTTTACATCAAAACTTTCAATTTATATCCCCAAGTCTTTTTCAAGATTTGAAAAATATAACAGCAATCATTAATAAGACGTCATAGAACAATGGTAGAATATATAGAAGCAATGAGATGTTTCAGATATGCAGTTTGAAAAATTGTGGAAAACATAAAAAAACAAAATGGTGAATTTGTAATGGGCTGATTACAGCCCCTTGAAGAATACCCACTGTTGAGTTTTTCAGTGGGCTAGTGTAGGAATCAAGAGTACTTTCCACCAAGAAGGTAGTCTATTAGGTTTACCAGGAACCTACATCCATATGTAGCGTTATATTGTACCTGGTCAACCTGTACCTGGACCATAGCTTGGGCAAGCAGGTCCAAAGTCTTGCCTTTGGAGTATAATATAACATGTCTTTTCACCATCTCCTCTAATCAGGAAAATGATGAATCCTAAACAAACATTTGTTCATTTTTTCCTACATTGCCTGTGAATGGTCAATCAGAGGAATTTAAACAACATGGAAAATCATGCTGCTGGAGAATAGAAATATTGCACTCAGATTCCAATAATTAAGTTATATAACATTCAAATTAGGTTTTAGGATAAATTTTTTAACATTAATATTGAACTCTCTGCCACTGTGACGAACAAACATGGATGTTGAGATGAGAAACTATTATAGGGGCTATAACTTTGTACACTAGTATTCAACTTAAAAAATGATTTTGAAGTACAGTACACTGATATCTTTAAAAGTATTAAAATCTGGGCACATGGCATAGTATAGTTCCCTCATTTTGTGCTGTGCTGCGTTACTTTGATGCATGATGCAGTGTCGGATCCAGGATGAGGAGGGCATGGGGAAAATTGACAGAAAAAAAATTGGGCCTCGGAAATTGGGCCTTTTTTTGGCCTTAATGTGGTTTTGGCTTCAATTAATGGGCCTTTTAGGCATTAATAGGCCTTATGGGCATTTCTTTTGATTTGCCCCCCCCCCTCTGTTAATTCCTGGATCCACCACGGTGATGTGCATGAACAAATAATTAATTAACTGGTACTTTTTGTTTTCTGATCCAGGGTTGAAAATAACTTATTGCTGTTGCCTCGTCTTCTGTATCCCAGAAATTGTATCCTTGATAAACTTAAGATTGATGAGAAACATGACAATTGATGGAAAAACACTATGATAATATACATTTTCAATATTATACCTAGAGTGACTGAGTTTTCACATCAATTATAGCATAGATTTTAATGCTATGTTCTTGTAAACTTATTTTTATTTTTATAGCAATAAGAGTCAAGTTTTGGGATCTTTTGCTCTATGCTTGAAGCTGGTATAAGCAAATCTATAAGCAGGTCTTCTTTGAGATTATACTCCCATCTTTTAATTTTGTCTGGTTTATTGCTCCAAATGAATTTAAAGAGGGCATATTGTTATGGTCTCCATTTTTGAGACGGCATTTGGCAAAAGCTAAGGTCAGCTCATATAGGAATGGAATTGGCTAATCTTGCCTTTAAGTTCACAAGAGTCTGAAACTTGACAACTTTTTCTGTATGTACTGAGTGTACTCAGAAATATGTGCTGAAATATATTATTTGAGGAATCAGACATTTTTACAAATGAATTACAAATAAAACTATCCAATAAGAAGAACCCTTGCTTAGTATTGTATGCTTCGTATATGAACACCAATTTGTTGGGTTAGAATTGATATTGATACCTCGCTTAAATTTCTTTCAGTGACAATAAAAAGAAAATCAATCAATCAAAAAGTCAAATTGTGTGTACTATTGAATAACTATTTTGAATAATTATTTTTACCATCGGCATAATAAGGGCCGAATGTATCCATAAGTAGCTGTCGGGCAAACACATTGACATAAACTTAAAAAGTTGTCTTTTTTCTGACCACTGTACATTTTTTTGGCAATGTGATAGTTTTGACACTTTTGGCAATAAAAATATGTACCATCTAAAATTAACGCTATTGAATCATTTCCGAAAAAAGTTGAAAAGAAAAATATTAACAGAGCGTTCATTTTGGAACGTTTTTTTTGTTTTCCTAACATGTGATAGGTATTTGGACATGATGGACAGGGTGTCCTTGTCTAAACCTGTCTGTATAAGACAAGTGTTGTTAGACATTCTAGGGAAGTCAAACGGGGCTCTGTTACCTAGCAATGTCATATAACAACGCCACACAACTCATTGATTATCGGGGTTGCCCTGCTTTGAGGAAGAACTTCAATTCCACCTGTGGCAAAATTGAAGTGTTTCATTGGAACAGTGTCATGCTTAAGGTCCCCATTATTTAAAAGGTGTGACTGGCAAATCTTGACACGTGGGTCCAGTATGATATGATGAAGTCGTTCAATTGGACCTCACACGCCAGTTTGACCATTGGACCTCACACGCCAGTTTGACCATTGGACCTCACACGCCAGTTTGACCATTGGACCTCACACGCCAGTTTGACCATTGGACCTCACACGCCAGTTTGACCATTGGATCCCCCGTTCGTCTGGTCCGTCAATATATGCCGCACCTCGGCCCAAGATTCTCGGGTCCAATATTCTCGGGTCCAATCTGGAAGATATAATGAGTATTATTTCTATTTTCTGTGTATATGAGAGTGTTTGTTTGCGTTTCTGTGTATGTGAGTATTTGTGTGAGTGTATGTGTGTCTATGTGCATTTCTGTGTATGTGTGAGTGTCTGTGCGAGTGTTTTTTTCAATTCATTGAATTTGTATTTGCTAATTTTAAAGGAAATTTATAGATCTAATAACGTTCATTGTGATTTTACATGATATCTTACACATTTTCCCATTTGTTCTGGGAATTTCAGGTTGAAACAGTGAAAATAATTAAAAATATTTGATTTTTTTCCCTTGTTTTCATCATATTTTGACCAGTTTTTGGCTTCCAGTATACAACTGCGCATTGTTTAAAGATAGCTATAGGTGCATTAATAGAATATGAACAGCAGATAAGTACCATCGGTAACATATTTGGTCTACACGAAATGAGATTACTCCATATCATAGATGTAGTATGGTACCCCTACCGCAAGATGATACATAATACCTTTTATCCCATTCGTTTGTATTTATAATGCTCACATGTACTATTTAATGTGTAATGATCAATAAAGATCCATAGTTATCATGATCTGTCTAAATATAATTACATTTACTAAAACTCTCAAATATCATAAATGAAGTGCAAACAGCAGATAAACACCATAGGATACATATAGTTAATGGTACCCCTACCCCATTTTATAAATATCAATATATATTACTGGTGATACAATGTAACCACTTTGACCATTCACCAGTCCCTTTGCTACATTGATATTACTTATCAGCATAACTGGAGTGTTTTCTTTTATGTCAAGGGACTTCATAGTGGATATTTCCGCTGTCTACACCATCGAAAAATAATGCTGCCCCTGTAAAAAATTCTGTAAAACATCAAGATTTGAAAAATAAAAGACGTCATAGAACAATGGTAGTTTTGAGTGAACTAGTGTAGGAATCAAGAAGGTAGTCTCTTAGGTTTGCCAGGAACCTACATCCATATGTAGCATTATATTGTACCTGGTCAACCTGTACCTGGACCATAGCTTGGGCAAGCAGGTCCAAAGTCTTGCCTTTGGAGTATAATATAACATGTTTTTTCACTGTCTCCTCTAATCAGGAAAATGATGAATTCTAAACATTTGTTCATTTTTTTTACTACATTGCCTGTGAATGGTCAATCAGAGGAATTTAAACAACATGGAAAATCATGCTGCTGGAGAATAGATATATTGCACTCAGATTTAAATAATTAAGTTATATAACATTCAATTTAGATTTTAGGATGAATGGATCAAATGCGTAATGTATTGATATATAGCAGTTTTGTGTCATAAATGTTTTTAATTTTTTAACATTAATATTAATCTCTCTGCGGCTGAACAAACATGGATGTTGAGATGAGAAACTATTGTAGGGGCTATACTTTTGAACACTAGTATTCAACTTAGAAATGATTTTGAAGTACAGTACACTGATATCTTTAAATGTATTAAAATCTGGGCACATGGCAAAGTATGATTCGCTCATTTTGTACTGTGATGCGTTACTTTGATGCATGATGCGGTGGCAGATCCAGGCCCTTTTTGGCCTTAATGTGGTTTTGGCCTCAATTAATGGCCCTTTTTGGGTGATGTACATGAACAAATAATTAATTACCTGGTACTTTTTGTTTTCTGATCCAGGGTTGAAAATAACTCATTGCTCTTGCCTCATCTTCTCTATCCCAGAAATTGTATTCTAGATAAACTAGATTGATAAGAAACATGACAATTGATTGAAAAGACTATGATAATATACATTTTCAATATTATACCTAGAGTGACTTAGTTTTCACATCAATTGTAGCATAGATTTTAATGCTGTGTTCTTATAAACTTATTTTTATGGCAATAAGAGTCAAGGTTCAGGAACTTTTGCTCTTTGCTTGAAGCTGGTATAAGCAAATCAAATAAATACTGAATTTGTTCATTGAGGTAATTTTGAAATTATGAAAGTGCAGAGATTACTTGGTGATTTGACAATCCTCCTCAATTTTGATGGTGATGGGGATGAAAGAGGAGGCATCAAGAGGTAACATGCTTCTGGTGGCATCACACTTGATTCTAAAATTGGGTTAAAATCAAAAGTCTATGTGTACGGTTTTAGATAAGTTAACTGATATGAAAGGCTATACTTGTTTATTGGGTTGTTAAATTAAAATCCCTTTCATTAATATTTTTAAAAATCTAGAATACTGTTGTATGTGTTCTGGTGATATGTATAAAGTTTCACCCTTCATTCACAATTTTCACAATTAATTCTTTTTAAAACAGATATGGGAAGTTGATGTTTAAAAGAAGTTGGCAGGTTAATTCCAAGCACAGAGCGGGGGCACTTGAATATTTTATTGAGTGTTGACCTATAATTGATCAAAATTTTGCTGCTGGTTCATCTGTCAGTCCTGGTTCGTCTGTCAGTCCTGGTTCGTCTGTAAGTCCTGGTTCGTCTGTAAGTCCTGGTTCGTCTGTAAGTCCTGGTTCGTCTGTAAGTCCTGGTTCGTCTGTAAGTCCTGGTTCGTCTGTAAGTCCTGGTTTGTCTGTCTGGTTCGTCTGTCTGGTTCATCTGTCTGGTTCATCTGTCTGGTTCGTCTGTCTGGTTCATCCGTCTGGTTCATCCATCTGGTCCATCAGTTCCACTGTCCATGTGTCCACCTGGAGGTCCTTGTACGGAGGAGCGTTCACACTCCCCTGTAATCAATGTCTAAGCTCTCTTCCCTCGTTGGTACGTTCTTCTTTGGTATAGTATACTTGCTAGTTTTTTGTTTTTAAAGATCTAATTACATTACTACTCTGTCTCGTCTTTTCAAGATTTAGAAATAATTTGCTATTTTTGTCTTTTATCCATTCCTGTTTGGATCTCAAAATAGCTCCTGATGTTTTTTCTATTAAATCATTTTCTAAAGATGTCAATATTGTTGCACGTCTAATTTGTTCAGTTTCTGATAATACATTCATTTTCTCTAAATCCTCAAGTTCATTTTCCATATACAGACACATAGAATACATTGTTGTCAAAGTAGAGTTTGCATCATGATTTATTACATGAAATGTACATGTAGACCATATGTACAATTTGAAATTGAAAGCTGTTTATTAGCTACATTGCTCATCTCATGTAGGTCCCAGTGCAAATCTATTTATGTTTGATAGATTATTTGTCACAAAAGTCAAAGCTCAGTCCTCAGTTACAGCTGGGCGGCCAAACCAAAATATGACGTCACGATTATCACTACGCGCCGGTGATTAAAAAATCACGGCATATGTCCAGAATCCCCACCTCCCGAATAGATTTTCTAATCCTGCAAAAACTACTGAATATTTACACTTTATACTTGGCAGAGACATAAAGTATAGTTTCTTTTTACGATTTAAATAGGTTTCGATCGCGCGACTTCTATATAAGTAGGGTAATTGCAACTTTCATTGCGAGAATTTTGAAGACCCCTTGAAACAATCGAATAAAAACCACTAGTTCGGTAGGCATTGAACTGTTGTTTTCAACTTGAACATGTATTTTCAGATTTCACGGTGTAATTCTATAAGTTATGACGCGAGTGGTCTATGTCCCTTTATATAAGTGTGTCTGGGTCTCTACTAGCCAGGTTCACTGGACATTTAGTTGAAGTGGGTTGTCCTTATCGGGGCTGACTCGATTTGGAATCAGCTGAATGGCGATTTTCCTTCTGACATTCGATGAGTTTAGTGAGCTATGCAACCGACTTGTTCTAGGTAAATCGCCTTACCAACGAGATAAAAAGAAAGTCTGTGCCATATAGGTAGTACTGCACATACCTTAAAACTGCATAACACGCGCGATTATTTGTATTTAATCGGCTACCGTCTCCTGATGTCTATTCTAGAGTGAGCAACTACATGTACTTCATTCCACAGGAATGTTGGTCAATGATACCGGTCACTGAGTACAGTGACCCAAAAGGCAAATTATAACATACCGATTACTAGTAGTACCCGGGACCATAGAAAATATAAATTCTATTGGTAAATGTAACTAAATCAATGCTGGGACATAAATAAGGAATGGCAGACCTAGTGTTAAATAGCCATTGCAAGAGGTTACATTTCTTCATTTATCACTGGAGGGGCTTGACTTGAGGCAACCATTGTTAATTCATAAAAATATTGATCCAATCACTCCACTGTAGGCCTACTATTTAATTGGTTGCTAATGGTAAAAAATAGCAGCTTGAGAATAAAAAGTCTCATCGCAAAAATAAAGAGCAAAATCTAGAAATACTGACAATTCATTTTATTTCCACAAACCTTATATTAGTAACAGTCTGACAGTTACATATAAAACTATACACAAGAGCCTTCGCGGTTTGGAGAACAGTCTCCTGGGCTTATAATTTTTTATGAAAAATATAGAAATATCAACCAAATTAAATCATGAATATTCAAAAGAAGACACTTAATTCTGAAAGATATAAAAACATCACAATTGTTCGAAGCAGGGGTAACATGCATTCGACCGATTCAATAAAATACAAGTCTAGATTTAGAGAAAGAAGTTCATCAGTTTACTGCACTCATAATTTTTTTATGAAATATCACCCAAATTAAATTAAAATGACTATTCAAAAGAAGACATTGAAATCTAGCCTAAATAATGTAAAAAAATTGTCCAAAGCAGGGGTAACGCTAGAGTGATGAACTTCGTTCTCCAAATCGAGAATAGTCATTTGTTGAAAAATTACAGATGTTATAATTATTTCAAATATCATCAATAATTCACTTTATTTTCATATTCAATACAATTTATATAATATTGCATGTGTTCAATATCTCAGAACTTAATTGATACCTTCTAAACCATACTATAACTGATTTACTATAGGGAATTCATCTTAAGTGATTTTATAAGTGTGCCCCAATTTCAGACACAGATAGACATGACATGACAGAAATAAATGTAGATCTAGACAGACAGGAAGTGGGTAATTGAAAAACTGACCAAATGACATTAAAACTTGATACATTTGACCAAGATTTTTGGAATTAGGATATTCTCAAAATTTCAGTTTTCATGAATCTCGTTCTAGTTTTTTTAACAGAAAATAATAGGACAAGACAAAAAGTAATAAATATCACTCTAAAGTCAAGAAATATGTGGCATCCATCCACCAGGTTGCATGCTGATTAGCAGAAAATGAAAATAAAAACATGTAAAAATTACATTTAACATTTTTTCAAGAATCATAATTTCATAATTCCAGCCACATATTTCCAACCCTTTTTGACAACACAGCCCTTGTGGGGGGGGGGGGGGGGGGTCATGCCAAAAAAACACAGATTCAATGGATAGACAACCCAAATTTTAGATAAGCAGAAATAATCATTAATTTGGTTAAAATGAAAAAACTAAGATTTTTAAAACTATTTACCAATGTACAGGGTGTCCTGAAAGTATGGGACCCCCTAGGCAGACATACACGTATACCAATGCCTTCACAGTATGTGTCATATATCATTTTAAAAGTTATCCAGAATTACATTGACTTGCCTAGTGTCATGATTCAACTCTCAAATAGTGTTTGGCCAAGGTGAGGGAAGATACTCCGTGGAAACTCTTCTTTATTTCCTTAGAAATGTTTTAAGAGGATTTAAAATGCAACATGGCCAAGGAAAGACACACTTAATACTAATTTAGTGTAAAACCGAACTTCAACTGTACCCAACAATAAAAACTAAATTTTGAAATGTCTGTAACCTTTTTCCAATTTGGGAATTGAAACACGATACTTGGCAAATCAATGTAACTTTGGATAAGCTTTAACACATGCTATGAGGGCATTGGTATATTCTGCCCATGTGGTTCCAATACTTTCAGGACACCCTGTACATCTTTCCAGCAAATAGTATTTTCCAGTATATTTCCAATATTAGTATTTTCCAATATATCCTTACAGGCCCGTAGCCAGGATTTGCCAAGGGGGGGGGGGGTTCAGTTTTCAAAATATTCAGGGGGGGTTCACATTTGACAATTTGATAAGTGCTCAAAAATGGTGAAAAACTGCATGATTTTGAAAGAATTTTTGGCCAGGGGGGGGGTTCCCCCAAACCCCCCTGGCTAAGGGCCTGCCCTATATAATTTTGAATAATAAATCATTACCTCAAAGAGTTGGAAGACAGGAGAATCAAATTGTCCCAGCTATTCTGACTCTCTTTATAGTTCAATTTTCATGCCATTATCAATGTTGTGTTATCATTCATTGTTATCATTTTGAGTATATCGTTTTTGGTATCTCGTTAACACTGCACAGTCTCACTTTGTTTTCACCTTATCAATACTCTACTGTTATGGACATGGTCTGGTCTCCATGTTGTTTCATCAGGAAAGTTAGTTAAACTGTCACATTAATAGGTGATGGTGAATGGTGTAACGTTTCATTTTTGTTGATTGTTTCATAAAGTTGTAAATCTAAGCTTGATATTGTTGATGTTAGTATCCAGTAACCTTTGAAGCCAGTCATTTTTGCACCTATGGCAGGGAACATCTTCAGCCAACACAAAAAATCTGAAAAATTAGAAAAGTACATGAATATTGATGTTATATTATAAGAAACTTGATAGGAAAAAAGATCATGTTTTCTGTAATCAATTTGAAAATATAGAATGGACTAGTTGTTAGAAATAATCTTGATTTACACCATTAAATATTCAAAATTCAGTCAATGTGATATCATATTTGAAATCTACATATTTCTAGTAAATAGTAACTTATTCTACAAATATGGTTTCAAAAATGGTTTATAAACTGAAAATGTTACTTCTAGGTTGGACAGATTCCTTTTAGACCTGTAGATCACATGTTATAAAATCATAAAAAGTGAAATATCTTTTCTTGTATTGGACAGATAACATTTTCTTTCACAGGACATACTTTAAGGTAATATGAATAT